TAGATAGATAGATAGATAGATAGATAGATAGATAGATAGATAGATAGATAGATAGATAGATAGATAGATAGATAGATAGATAGATACACATAGATAGATAGAAGATAGATAGATAGATAGATAGATAGATAGATAGATAGATAGATAGATAGATAGATCATATAGATAGATAGATAGATAGATAGATAGATAGATAGATAGATAGATAGATAGATAGATAGATAGATAGATAGATAGATAGATAAATAGATAGATAGATAGATATGATAGATAGACATAGATAGATAGAAATAGATAGATAGATAGTATAGATAGATAGATAGATAGATAGATAGATAGATAGATAGATAGATAGATAGATAGATAGATAGATAGATAGATAGATAGATAGATAGATAGATAGATAGATAGATAGATAGATAGATAGAAAGATAGATAGATAGATAGATAGATAGAATAGATAGATAGATAGATAGATAGATAGATAGATAGATAGATAGATAGATAGATAGATAGATAGATAGATAGATAGATAGATAGATAGATAGATAGATAGATAGATAGATATATAGATAGATAGATAGATAGATAGATAGATAGATAGATAGATAGATAGATAGATAGATAGATAGATAGATAGATAGATAGATAGATAGATAGATAGATAGATAGATAGATAGATATATATATATATATATATATATATATATATATATATATATATATATATTTATATATTTATATATATATATATATATATATATAGATATATATATATATATATATATATATATATATATATATACAGATATATATATATACTGGCAATATCTCTCTTTATATATATATATACATATATATATATATACATACATACATACATATAAGGTACTGGCAACTCATCAACTTTGACTCTTATAACATTACACATAGAAAAAAAAATACAATTAGTATTATAAAACAATACTTTCAAACGTGTGCTGTACCTTAATGACATGCTCAAAGGCCAGGGCAAGATTTAACATCATAGGTCTCTGAGAGGGAATCATCTGCTGGTCAATGGTGTTGTAGAAATGAGCAACCTATGAAAACGGTAATATGTAACAATACGAGCATAAAAAAAGCAATAGATATACATAAAGATATACATAGATATACCCTGGCTACTATGTTAGGAATACATGCTCAACTGCTCTTTAACAAAAATATCTAATTAGCCAATCACATGGCACCAACTCAATGAATTTAGTCTAAGTCTGAATCTGAGCGTTTCAGAAACTGCTGATCTGCTGGGATTTTCCTTCACAACCATCTGTAGGGTTTACAGAGACTGGTCTAAAAGAGAGAAAACACCAGCAAGCAAACTAAAAAGACCTTGTCAGACTAATTCAGGAAGGCAACAGGAACTCAAATAACTATTTGTTACCACCAAGGTATGCAGAAGAGTATCTCTGAACACAAATCACACCAAACCTTATTGCTATATTGGGCTTTACTAACAGAAGAGCATTCTGCATGCCATTCCTGTCAGGTAGTAGCAGGAAATTGAAACTAAAATTCTCATGGGTTCAACAAGACTGGACAATAGAAGATTAGAAAAAGCATTCCCTGGTCTGATGAATCTCAATTTCTGCTGCAACATCCAGATGACAGAGTCAGTATTTGGTGTAAACAACATGAAAACATGGCTCTATCCTGTTTTATATCAGTGGTTCAGGCCGATGGTGCTGGTGTAGTGGTGTGATGGTCTGAAGGATATGTTCTTGCCACACTTAGGCTCCATATTAAATAGTGATCATCATTTAAATGCCATAGCCGGTTCTGCCGGAGGTTTTTTCCTATTAAAAGGGAATTCTTCCTTCCCACTGTCACCAAAGTGCTTGCTCATTTGGGGTCACCTGACCTGATTGTTGTGGGGGGTTTTTACCTTACAACATAAAGTGCCTTGAGGCAACTGCTGTTGTGATTTGGCACTTTATAAACTGTACTCAAATGGCCTCCACGATTACCAGATCTCAATCCAACAGAGCACCTTTTTTGGGCAATGGGCAAACCCAGGATGTAACTCAGGACTTCCTGCGCGTAACAACTGAAGTGGCAACTGAATGTATATAAATAAATTAGGAAAGAAAAAATATTGCATGTCTTAGCTTCCGCTCTCACCTGTTTTAGGACAATGGCTTGTCTGTAGAATTTATCTGCAGTATTAGCAGCCAGTTGTATCTTGGCTGGGATGGAAAAGCCCAGGGCAGAGAGCTGCCTGACCTCCCTGAGCAGACTGACTAGTCTGTCTGAGTACTGAATCTTGAGTCTGCCATCATCATGGTCCAGCTCCATCACACGGTTACTGGCCTGAAGACTATACAGGGTGTGAGAATAGAGAAGTGCAAAATGTAACATCCATTCAAGCCAATATTCGTTCCACTCTGGGTATTTTAAATGATTAAATAAAAAATACAAAAAAAACAGCATACAATTGCAAAAGGATTTAATAACATTGTAGAATTGCATGCCTCTTTCAAACTTGTATATTAATGACCAACATACTCTTCTGTGATGCTTCAACTGAAGTTCTTCTTTACACTTTCATTTCTAGGATTTTGTAACCTAAGGTCGAAATATTACAGACCTGATCCCTGACTTTGGGTCAGTCAGCTCAGAAAGTATATCTCTTGACCAGTCCTCAAACTGCTCTTGTTCATAGGCCCTCAGAATCTCCAGCAGGTCATCACAGAAATGCAGGAACCCTTTGAACCCAGAGAGATCTGAAAGCAGAGCCTCAGCTAGGCGGACAGAGTCTTCCACCTATTGTAAGAATGAAAGACATGAAAATAAAATACATTTTCTTTTGACTGTCAGAGAAATTATTTTGTATTTGACATATTAGAAACAAAAAAAACTGCAAATGTAACAGTTGTTTTATAGCACTGTACAAAAGTCTTGAGCACTCTACATTTATTTATATCTTGCTTTCAAGAATGAGACTGTCTCAAAATGTTTTAAAGTGGTCTTGAGCAATTGTTCTTCAGACTTTCTGAAGTTTTTCCAAAGTTTTTCTTTAAAGATTAGCTGCTTTTTCACTCATTTTCAGTCCACTCCTTGTACCTGACCATTTTCAAAGTTTTTTTTATGTTTTTAAGCTCCTAACACTGACCTATGACTTATTCCAGCATAAAAAAGGCACCTAACTAAATATATAAGCCAGCATTGTGTCTACATATGGGAGAAAACTTTATTTGCTATCTTTGGGCATTTTGAGGAAACTGGGCAATTTGAGGACTTGAATATTTTAGGAAATTCAAGAAGTTGAGGCCTAAAATTATCTACAGCACATCAACAGTATCTGAAAGCCTTGTCTTTAACAAATACGAAAAAATCCAGCAAAGAGCTGACACAGGAACTGAGATATGCATCTGGACTATCAAATGACCCAAATGACTTCTGAAGGCTCATCAGAAACGGTTTCAGTGAAAGGGTGGCTGTCAAAAGGGGAACAGGAAGAAACAGCCGAAATATGCCTCATTACACAAAATTAGACTGAAAATCAGTGGCAGGTCTTATGGAGCAATTAATCCAAATTTGAAAATGCTGCTTCACATTGCTTTTCATTGTCATCAGTATGTAAGGAGGAGGCCAGGAGGTAGATATAGCAGTAAGTGTCTACAGTAATCTGTAAAAAAACAGTGGAGGCAGCATTTCATCCAGCGAGGTTGAAAATTTTGATTGAACTTTGAATGCAGAAAAGTAAATGAACAAGAAATTGTTCATCATTAAAGCAAAAGTAAGTGGTACATCACCAGCTTAAACACAGTACCTCATGTAAATCTTACATTTTGTTGGCATTTACAGTGTAGGGCCATAAAAGTTCCAGTAGCAATAATTTTTGACATTAATGTCGTGTCATAACAATAAAGTTGACTGAGAGGTTTTTTTTAATGTCCGGTAAATCTATGAGCTGCCACTGACAGTCTGGGTTGCTGTGGAGAAGCCTGGGTTTGGTGCTATTTGGCCAGTAAGGTAGGGTTAGGAGAGGTGTGCTCACATGTTGGTGCCATACTCTACATCGCCATTCTGGCAGCTGTAAATGAACCAGTCACCTTGTGTAGGAGCTGCCGCACCCAAACTATTTTGTTGACCACCTCAGGGAGGTTTCGGCCAATAAGGGGGCCAGACTTGTCACCAGGACTTCCATGGCAGCGTGTCTCAAAGTCAGTTTTCAGACCTGAGAAAACCAAAAGAGAAGAGGGGGGGTCAGAAATCAGAAGTGACAATTTATTACCACCTAGTTTCCCAAAAGAGAGAAGACATATTAGACATATTATTTAACATATAACACTGAACTAATACCAGCATTCCTAGACACTCACCATACTGCTCTCAGTACATTCACTCTAACATCTATAGAATTTTATTGCTCTATTCAAACAAAATCATTTCTAAATTTCTTTCTCCCAGCCTTACACAATAAAATCAGCTGTTATGGACAATAACATTGTTAAAACAACATTAATTCAGCATTCACTGTCACATAAATATACAGCATGCATAAACAGGATTTATTCAAGGTGTTTGTATTATCCTCCAGTGTTTAGACAAATCACTGTAAAGTCAAAAACTGAGAAAAATATGTATGTATGTATGTATGTACCCTTGTTGTCGTCTAGTAATCTCGCCAGTAGGGTCTCTCTCTCTGACTGCAGTTCTTTGCGGATGGTGGGACGTCTTATAAGCTCCTTATGTTTCAGAAATACCTGTAATAGCTGGGAAATAAATACACACTCAGGCAAATCCAGTAAGTTAACTCATCAGCACACACCCACACAATATTTCACAGTCTGAGCTGAAGTGTGATGTTTCACTACCTGTTGTGGGTTGTCCTGTACATCAGCTATATAGCTCTTCAGTCTGCCAGCAACCTCCTGCTCTGATGGAGCCATTAGACGCTCAAACTGAGCCACTGCTGCTCTCCAAAGAGGCTATAAAAGCACAAAAAAATCAGAGTAAGCACTGATTGCTATTATTAATCCTCTGCACTTCATGATCACTGATGATGATCATTCCTTCTCTATCTATTCCTGTCACTGTAATTTCCTTCATTGATCAGCTTCTCAAAGTACTCTTTTCATCTTCTTAACACACTCCTGTCACTTTTAAATACATTCACAGCTCCATCTTTAACCATCCTAACCTGCTGCACATCCTTTCAAGCCAATCTAATCTTCCTTAGCACCCAGCCTTACATACAATTCACTATAAGCTTTTTCATTTACCTGTCTACTATTCTTCTTCTTCTTGACAATCCCAATTTTTCTAGGATCTCTACTTCCTGTGGAAGCTGAGAAAAGCCCATCTCCCACCATCCATTCTCACCACCTTCTACAGAGGGACTATTGAGAGCGTCCTGAGCAGCTGCATCACTGTCTAGTATGATAACTGCACAAAATTGGATCGCACTACCCTACAACGGATAGTGAGAACAGCTGAAAAGATCATTGGAGCCTCTCTTCCCACCATCACAGACACTTATCGTAACCGCTGCATCTGCAACGCCACCGGCATTGTGGAGGACCCCACACACCCGTCACATACACTTTTCACCCTGCTGCCTTTTGGCAACAGGTACCGTAGCATTCAGGCCCTCACTGCCAGACTGCGAAACAGTTTCTTCCCCCAGGTCGTCAGACTCCTGAACACTCAGTGACTGGACTGACACACACACACACGTACCTTCATACACATCACTACCAATCACTTATCTGCAGAATCTCATACACACACGCACACCTTCATGAACCAAGTGACTTTTTGCACAATACTTAATCTTTTGCACATTTCTATTGCACTGTTGTGTCTGCACTGTTTTGTGTCTGTATCCTCCTGTTCTGTTGGGTGTTGGACTGTCTTTGTTTGTTTGTTTTTTTCAATTTATGCACATTGCACTTTATGTAATCCTCTGTTGATTGTCTGTTATATGTCATATGTAGCACCATGGTCTTGGAGGAACGTTGTCTCGTTTCACTGTGTATTGTACCACTGCACATGGCTGGAATGACAATAAAGCCACTTGACTTGACTTTTGTTGGACAACCTCTTTCTTTGAATACTTTCCTGTGCTTCCTCATTCCACCACCTAGTGTCTTTATCTTCCTTCTTTGGTTCTGAACACACTAAATACCTTCCTGGAATTTGGTTTCTATCACCAGTTCAGCTGTACTTTCCCAGCCATCTGGTAGCACGTCTCTGCCACACAGAGCCTATTCAGTGGTAAATGTGGTTTAAACTGTGATTCTTCAGAAGTGATAAATACCAATGATTCACTTAAACTGCTACCACTCAGTCTACCACAATCCACAACAGTTGCATACAGATGACAGAAACAAGATACACAGACACGTGAAGTTCTTTATATCGAACCTCTGTATAAGGGTTGTAATGCAGAGGGTTGAGCCCAGAGAATGGTTCGAAAACACGCTCTACAGTCAGAGCCTGTTGCTTCGCTCCTGGTAGCAAACACAGCAGCTTCTCATGAACCACACGTAGAGTCACAACCTGGAAAACATAAACAGAAAAGTGTACAGTGTGCACATCAGTGTCCAATATCCATTCTCACAAGAGTCAACAATATGACTTGTGACTTCTTAGTGTAGAGTAACAAACATCCATGTTCCATCCATGGAAAACAGGGCAGATAAAATATAGTTGTCAGAAAAAAAGAAGAGGAAATAGTGGCTACATGTGTTTCAATTAATAAAACCTTTCTGAAATTAAAAACAAAAATACTCAAATACTCTATTTAATAACAGGTCTTCTTTATAAGAGACTGACAACTTATGAAATGACAAAACTTAGGCCTGAATGTATTTTAACAAGAGCTCCAAAACAATTTTTTTCTATTTATCTATTTATTTTAAGGGCCAATCTCTTTTACTGGTCTTATATTACACTTTTTTGTGTTCTGTTCTTCAGTAGAAAACATGCGAGGGAAAATTCCACCTAAATGTGATGTCTAAAAAAGTAGCAAGAAGGAAACTGATTATTAAAAGTGTGTCTGTAAGTTTCATTTAATCGCTGTATTCAAAGCAAACAACAAAGAGGTTGTGCAAGAACAAGCAAAACAAAACAAAAATTCTGCCTGTTCTCGTTAAAGTAAACAAGAAGTGTTCTGGAACAGAGCCACAGTTTACTTCATTCAATCTGTTTGCGAGGCACTGCAGGGTTTCCGGGGAGTGTTTGTTTCCCTTCCAGGGGTGGGGGGCATGTCTCTTCCACACCTGAGGAAAAAATAACAAAAATGATTTAACAGGTTTCCGGGACTGAACACAAATCATCTTCATCTGGCTTTTAATTCACAAAATGAAGAAACAGTATCTGTCAAATTTTACACACTATTTCCAGCTTGAAGAAAATATATTTCTTACACCATACAGTACATTTGGAGAGTATTCACAGCGCTTCACTTGTTCCATTTTTTGTCACGTTACATCATTATTTTAAACTTGATTAAGTTCAGTTTTCACCAGAAGATTTCACAGACAACACCCCATAATGACAAAGTGAAAAAGGTTTCTGTGAAATTTTAGCTGATTTATTAAAAATGTGTAACGTGACAAAATGTAGAACAAGTGAAGCCCTGTGAATATTTTCCAAATGCACTGTTATTTTTTCTCATTTTCTGAAGCTTCCCATACCTGTCCAGTTAAATGCTCACAGGCTACAACCCACTGTTCACAGATGGCAAAACCCGTTCTCAGGTTCTCTCTCACTAATACAAATGGTTCCTCAAAGATTTTAAGACCACTCAGCTTCCTCTGGACAAATCTCCCCAGGGCCCCGCCTTGTACAGTTAGATATAAAGAAATGCAAAAAGAAGATTAAGAATACAGTTGCTACATGCATATGCATATTAAAAAAAAACCAACAATTTAAAAAAGATTTCACAGGCACATAACAGGTATATTTGGCAACATATTATCCAAAACCCAGAGGCCTCGATAGTACGTCACTGCAATCTAAAGCATGTAAGCATTTTATTTTTAGCATAAAGTACGTAATTGCAGTGCGTAGCAAGTACAAAAAAGGACATTTGTTTCAGTTCCCAAAATATGGCCAATTATTACTTTGTAATATAAGGAGTAAGTAAGTACTGTCATTGGCAAATATTTTCTCTCATTTCCCTTTTTTGGTTTGTGTGTGTCTGAGAGTCCTACCGATGACATCCATGAGGCGGACCATGCGTGTCTCTGGGTAAGGGTCGTAATCAGTCTGTCTCCAAATGTCATCCAGAGCGTCCCTGCTCTGTTCCACCAGATCCATAACATCAGACATAGACAGGCTATCGAGACCATCGTATTCCTGGTGGCAACACAAAGAGATCAGTGATCATTTTTAGTTTCCTCCCGGTGTGTTAACAGCTATGTAATAGTAACAAATTACTGTTGAAAACAGCACTTATACAGTGCTAAGCTTTAAAGATTTTAAATGTCTAAATTTGTCATATTGTAAATAACATTGCTTTACCAGCTTATTTATAGAATTATTGCTTAGTACAGTAACAGAATACAGTTCTCATCTCATAGTTTAATTACCTTCCCCCCTTTGTACCAAAACTATATTTAGCATCATATAAATGTATTCATTTTTATTTGTATTCATTTTTTAAATGAGTAAGTCCTGATACATGCATTCATACCTTTTGTATTGGTTTGAAGTGCTCAGTGAAATGTTGAGATCTTTCTCTCAAACTGCTCTTCTCTGCAGACTCTGAGAGATCTGCCCAGTACTGGAACTCATCGCTGGGAGTCAGGATGCCTGCAGAGTGTAAGAAATATGATGTACAATGTCTAAAAGTCATAACGTAATCAGTGATATACAAAATGATATACACATACTCACAAGACGTTTTACCACTCATTATGCATATGATTACATCGCTCCAAAATCCAACAATTTAAAAAACTACCATAACCATTCATTAACACCCTTTCTGCTAAAATATACTCTGCAAACAATATGTGCGCATACCCAAGACATCTTCCTCTGTGTGACCCTTCTTGGCAGAAGGTTGTGTTCCAGACTGGCGAACTACTGAACCCAGACCCAGCTCCAGCTCACTCAGGAGGTCAGCCAGTTTAGGGTCAAATGCAGAACGCCAACGCTCATCCTTGAGAGAACAAAAGGAAAGTTAAAAAAAAAAACAAAAAGAAAAAAAAACAAAACTTTCTTTCTTAGTCTAACTACAGATAATGATTTTTCATGTAACATATCTGGAACCTCTCAATGCACAGGGACAGACTCACCTTTAGCAGTACAGGTGCGAAAACCTGTCTGACAGCCTGATAGAGGGTGTTAATGGGAGACTCCAGCATGGATGAAACCAGAAGGCTGTGATGAAGGTTATCTTCTGTGATCACTGTGGGACGCAGCTTGAAGAACACCAGCACATTCTCTCTAGTCTCCCCCACAGCTTCAATCTGTGTCAAAGGATGGAGTTGTTGTTGTTTTTTTATTAAAAAGGCACTAAACCATCAAGTCAACACATGGAAGGCAACTGTACAGAATGTCAAATAACATTTTGTTATTCGCCCCTCCAATTAGCACCTCTGTGTCAGAGACCACAGTTCAGAGCCAGAAAAAGGTGCCTGCCCTAGGTTGGAAATTAGTTTCTGCCTCAAGTGGAGAAGTTCAAGTATATCGGATGTTGTTCACAAGTGAGGGGAGAGTGGAGCCGGACACTGACAGGCAGACTAATCAAACCATCTAGAGAGGGATGTCTAACATCTCTACTTCTGCTGCCTCTTTGATGAACACCCAGATAAGTTGGAGAAAGTGAATCATGTATAAAAAATAAAAAAAATAAAAAAATCAATTTCTTTGTTAAGTTGATATTTAGAGATATAAATATTAATTGCATTAATATATTTATTGATAATTCATTTTTAAATATGGATTAGATTGAAAGATGTTATAGATTTAAACACTGCATCAGTTCAACAACTATCGATGTGTAATGTGACCCTTTTAATAACTTTTTTTTTTTTTTAAAGAAAACTTACCTTATTTGATAAGCGAAGGTCATTGTCATGTCTGCTGACAGATAAGACAAATTCATTTCCATCATCTAAGAAGTTATTGAGCTCTGGGCTGTCAGTCAGTGATGATGATGATGGCTTTAATCCATAGAAGTTTCCAGTTGTGGTCAGAATAAACTTCTTGCGGACATCATCTGAACCATGTGGCATCTTTCTGCTGGAACTAAAATACTGGCAGTAAGAAAGCAAAGACATCCAAATATAGGGATAAATAATTGTAAAGGAATGCGTCTTTAAAGAGTAAACACAATTGTATTGCTTATCAAGCATAGATCTTGAGACTAAATAAAAAAAATAACAATAATTAAAAGTAACAATAACGAGCGACTTTGATATACATGGTTATTCAGGATAATCTCGCCTTTTTGCTGTTTTATCCAGCAAGAAATATGCCTTAATATCAAATACTATCAAACTAAATTTCTATTTGAACAGCCTACCGTTGGTAAACCCACGAAACCTTTTACATTCACTGGTTCAGTGTCCAGCTAGAGGTTATTGGGTAGTATTTAGAGTCGCTGAACTGACCCAGTGCTGACATCCCTGCTAAATTAGTACCTAGCTGTTATCTCTGTGTTTGCGCTGAAACATCGTTAGCACATCAAACCACTAGTTTTTTTCGTTTTGTTTAAAATCAGACTTATGCCTGGAAAGCAGCAGTACCAGGTTGTGGCAAAGGAATGGCCACGGGCAGAGTAAACCATCAGCTAATAGCTAACACTAGCCTTGCCTGTGTACATTAAAGTGCAGTGCATCAGTTCGCTGGCTCACTTTCGGCGCACAGTCAAGCTATAGAATATCTGGTTTCATACCGTTATGTCTCGAAAAGAAACCAAACTCCGAAAGCTTCTGAATGCTTAATCCATGGTTTGAAGTTTTAGCAAAATTGCCCCTCTCAGTTTGTAAGGGAGTTCGCCAATGCTAATGTCGTTGCCAGGTAACAACGACGAGATTTTGTTTCACGTGACACAGCTATTCCTACGTAGTTTTTATGCGGCATTTACGTATGCAGCCACATTAAATTAAATGTTTGTTTTGCTTTGTTTTACCACATAGAAATGTTAGAATGCAATAGTATTTATTGCCTTGTTACTTTAATAGTAGAGTAGTATATGCTTGCGATTCGGCTACTGTTTCAACGGCGACATTCCGGAAGCTACGCAAGCAGATTTAGATTTTTTCAAACTAAAAGATCTTATCAATCCGTGAAGCGAACTGAGCGAAACCGCGAGGGCAGCTTCAAAGACAACAAAGCAGTGTAGTCCAGAAGTTAGCTGGAGATTGCAAAGCTCTTGTTATAGCAGACGTCGTCACAGTAGAAAAAGTGTAGGTTTTATATTAGCATTAGGAAATGGTCAGGTAGCCTATTGTGAGGCAGTGTGAGTTGCTGAGGTAAGAAACCTTAAATAAGCATGCTTCTGTGTAAGAATAATGTTGCAAAGGATTCAAAACAATAATGACGCGTTTATTTATCTTATTTAGTAAAGAAAGTGGGACATTGTAGACGTTAGGTGTATGCTGCCCCTCCACGTTTGCTGTGTGCTTTCATTTTCACACAATTTAATTTAAGAACAATGTAAGTAAGCTGTGTTAACTGAATCAGCATTGTTTTATCTAATGTGGTTAGCTTCTTCTTTAAGACAAAGGTTCCCTGCCAGACATAAATTACTCATCCTAGACTGACCATTTTCGGTCCTGGATAAGGAACTCATACTTGTAAACATGGCAAAAACCACTTCACAAATAGGGATTCCCTTCTGTAAGTAGTTTCGTTTCTTTCACTGACTCTGTGTTGATTCATTTGGCACACACTGTGCTCATATCGCGTTGCGCATTTACATCATGAATGAAGATATTGTTATATATGAAAGTAAGTATGTTACAAAATTGCAACTTATCTTTAATGCTGAGAAGCTAGTAACACTGAAACACTGACAATCAAATCTGTGGTCACACATTTCTCAAATCACTGTCTAAAGCAATCTTTTCCGTTATACGAGTTCAAGTCAATTTTGTGTTCAGTCTTCAATCACTCAGTTACTAATACAGCACGTGCAAAGACCCTAAAGTGGGACTGATGAATCAGGGTGGCAAGAGAGGAACTGTGATACTATATGAGGATGTCAAGAATGACAAAGAAATATGTGAGTGTGGTACAGGACATATATGAGGACAGAGAGATAGTGGTGAGTGCCACAATATAAGTGACACATTGGTTTAAAGTGGGGATGGGACTACATCAAGGGCAGCTCTGAGCCCTTTCTTGTTTAATAGTAATGATGGACAGGTTAACATACACTACCAGTCAAAAGTTTGGACACACCTTCTAATTTAATGTTTTTTCTTTTTTTTCATGGCTATTTACATTATAGATTCTCACTAAAGGCATCAAAACTATGAATGAATGAATACTGAATTTTGTAGTAAACAAAAAAAGTGTGAAATAACTCAAAACATGTTTTATATTTTAGATTCTTCAAAACCGCCACCCTTTGCTTTGGTTACAGCTTTGAGTACTGGCATTCTCTCGATGAGCTTCATGAGGTAGTCACCTGAAATGGTTTTCCAACAGTTTTGAGGGAGTTCCCAGAGATGCTGAGCACTTGTTGACCCTTTTGCCTTCACTCTGTGGTCCATCTCATCCCAAACCATCTCGATCAGGTTTAGGTCAGGTGAATGTGGAGGTCAGACTATCTGGCGCAGCACTCCATCACTCTCCTTCTTGGTCAAATAGCCCTTACACAGCCTGGTGTGTTTGGGGTCATTGTCCTGTTGAAAAATAAATGATGGTCCAACTAAACACAAAGCGGATGGGATGGCATGTTACTGCAGGATGCTGTGGTAGCCATGCTGGTTCAGTGTTCCTCAATTTTGAATAAATCTCCAACAGTGCTACCAGCAAAGAACCCCCACACCTGCTCCTCCATGCTTCATGGTGGGAACCATGCATATAGAGATCATCTGTTCATCTTTTCTGCGTTGCACAAAGACACGGTGGATGGAACCAAAGATCTCAAATTTGGACTCATTAGATCACTTCTGCACAACACAAATGATGGTCCCAAGCCCATTAAGAAGGCAAGAAATTCCACAAATGAACCCTGACAAGGCCCTCCTGTGAAGTGAAAACCATTTTAGATGACTACATCATGAAGCTCATTGAGAGAAGGGCAAGGGTTTGCAGTATCGTCAACAAAGCAAAGGGTGGTTACTGTCAAGAATCGAAAATATAAGACATTTTTAGAGTTATCTTTTTTTTCTTTGCTGCATAATTCCATATATCTTGCTTCATATATTATCTTCATTATCTGATATCATCAGTATGCATCTACAATGTAGAAAGTAGTAAAAATAAAGAAAAAAACATTAAATGAGAAGGTGTGTCCAAACATTTGATTAGTAGTGTATGAGGTCAGATGAGATGAGGCAGGGGTCTTTGTGAACTATGATGTTTGCAGATGACATTGTTATACGTAGTGAGAATAGGGAGCAGGTGGAAGAGAACCTGGAGAGGGGGAGGCATGTGCTGGAGAGAAGACAAATGAAAGTCAGTAGAAGCAAGGCTGATTACATGTATGTGAATGAGAGAGAGACAGGTGGAAAGGTGGATCAAAATAGCAAAAGTAGATGAGTTTAAATACCTGGGGTCAGCCATCCAGTGCACAAGACGGGTGAAAAAGTGAGTGCAGACAGGGTGTGGCTGGAGATGAGTGTCAGGGGTGATTTGTGACAGAAGGATAGCAGCAAGAGTGAAAGGGAAGGTTTACAAGAGGGCAGTGAGACCTGCTGTGACGTTTGGTTTGGAGAGGTGGCACTTACAAAAAGACAAGAGGCAGAGCTGAAGGTGGCAGAATTGAAATTGTTTTTCATTTTCATTGTGAATGAACTGAATGTTCAGGATTAAAAATGAGTATATCAGTGGGACAGCTCGGGCTGAGCGGTCTGGTTAGAGAGGCAAGGCTGAGATGGTTTGGACAGGTGCAGAGGAGGGAAAGTCGATATATTGGATAAAGGATGCTGAATATTGAGCTGCCAGGCAGGAGAAGAAAAAAAGAATGCCACATAAAAGATTAATGGATTTATTTATTTATTTATTTATTTTTTCTGCCTGTCCCATTTGGTTCTTTAGCCATCAGAATTGTTGTCTGAAGACCAACAAGGATACCCAATGGATTTACTTTGCCAAATGGATCATCATGGCATTGCCATATTGGTCCATTTGATTCGATCTTTGTTTTTATTATTTATTTATTTTATTTTCAATTGTTACAGACGGGACAGACATGAGTGAGGGATAGGAAAGGGAGAAAGAAAGAGGAAGGAAAGGAAAACAGAAGGGGAGAGGGACAGTGAGAAAGGGGGGGAGAAAAGAAATAAAAATCTCCTGGATCACCTGTTGAGAGAGGAATAGAAAACAAGCAAAAAAGACAAAAAAAACAAAAACAAAGCAACATACTAAACACAACACCATCGCATTAATCTAGCTAAGTGTAAACAGCAGTAAATACTAAATATTCAATGTTGTTGTGCAGCACGCAGGACTAGATGTGCTTCGAAGTAGCAGCCAAGAAAGGTGTAATTTGGGTCTACGAGCAGTGAACACCCGTGTGCATACCTGTGTGGATCAGCGCGCTTGTATTCCAAAGGTTTCTCCATGTAACGATCTGCTAGGGAGTGTGGGGGGCCACAGCCCCGTCCTCCAGGGTATGAAGCAGGTATGGAGGAGATCAAAACTCCAGACATCCAGAGGCCCCCAGAACACAAGAGACCAAGGAAGACCAACAGAGGGGCAGCCGCGCCACTGTCCCAGAAGAGCTGAGGAGAGTCCCAGATGAGGGCTCACTCAGCAGCCGCGGAGCAGAAGCCAGGGGGAGTTGCAGTGACGCGCCCGTGAGCTCCGCCGGCGCCAGCTGTGCCTGAGTGACCGAGCCCCAGGCCGAGAGGCCGGGGGCACCCCACCTCCGAAGGGGCCCGAGCGAGCCCCAGGCTCCAGGCCCCGATAAGCGGCCGCCAAGGAGTGAGCCGGTGTGTACCTGGACGCCCACCCCACAGACACAAAGAACTCACCAACGCACCGACACCTGAGGGAGTCCGCCACCGGCAGGGGAAGTGGTGGTGGGTGGAGATAGGCCTCCAAACCTTGGAGGGCCTGAGGTGAGATTAATGGATTTAGTGAAGGAGGTTGGTGTGACAGACGAGGATGCTAGAGATGGGGTGAGATGGAATTAGATGATCTGACTTGGACTGGTAGAAATGTGTAAATCGTGGTCATCATTTTTTTAGGCAGTATAAGCACATTTAAATGGCTTATACTGTTGCCATAAACATGCAGCTTTATGCAGGGACGCCTGTAAAATTATTTTAACAGAGATATTCAGCCTTTGCTTGGTGTGAGGGGAGTTTCACACATGGTACGAGCTGATTTGTTTAATGTCTTGTTTCAAATCTTAGAGCCTTTCCTCCCACATAGTGCTCATTGCCAGCACGTTTCTTTTTCACCAAGCAAGTAAGACAAAGTTTCAAGGTAGTATGTAGAAGATCTTGATATGAAAGTTGTAAGAAAAATGTATTTTGTATTTTATGTGCATTAAATAATATTCCTTTTCATTAAAGGTTTGTCATCTAAATGTTAAATGAAAAGCATAAGGATGAGTCATTTACAAACAATACTGCAGTTTCTTAAATTTTCCCTAGATACATTAAAAAATTCCCACATTATCTGATAAATCTTTTCCACATTGTTTCGTTATTAAATCCGAGTATATTTGCCAGGTGCTGTGGAGAATTCTTTTCTCTAAATGGGTGTGTCAGTGACCTCATGGCCTCGTGAGAAATTGCCGGCCCATCTTGGGTATTCCCCCTATTCCTCGCAGCTAGACACTCCCCCTTTTAACCGAGGCCACTCTAACCAACGTGTTTTGAAAAGGTCAATGCAAAGGAAAACAGAACTTTTACAAGAAACATCCCAAATAATTTTGTATGAACAAAATTTTTATTGAGCTAAAGGTCACTTGAAGGGAAATGCTTTGTGTGTAAATCTTTATCATTTACATGTTAAATTAAACAATAACCTTTCTAATACGCTAGAAATGAGAAAATTGTCCACCTGGAAATGTCATATATGGGGAAATAATCGACTAATAATTGTGTCATCAGACACATTGTAATTATTTAACAAGAAAAACAAAAGAAGTTCTAGAAAAGTTGGCAAGAATTCAAAAAACATAATGTCAATGTGAAACACTTTGTGGTTAGTCAAAGAGATGATATGAAAAATCAGAGGTGGGCGTGTACTGTACACTCACAGGTCACTGCCTGTAATAAAACGTCAAAAGCCACAGAGAAAGTCCATAACTTGGCCACACAGAAAGCCACAGTCTTTGTGTTTGTGTGCGTTAACCAGTTTTAGCGAACGTCAAGTACATAGGTTTCCAAGTACATAGTCACATAGGTGGCACAATGAAACATTCACTGTAGTCTGTCAAACAAAGTTACACATGTTAGCTAAGATTCAAAATGAAAATCATAATGAATATCGCATGGTGTTTCATCTAAAGCCTTTTTTTAAAATGTGATTTTTTTATTGTGTTACAACAATAAAACTGGGGTGCTTGCTTATGTCTGTGTTACTGTGCAACTTGAAAGAAAATATCCTTTTCCTACATTTGGTGAAATGTGACTGAAGCGCACTGATGTTCCTGGCACGTAGTGGAGCAGATAAAGTCGATGCCAGAACAATACCTTAAAAGGGCTAATAAACTAAGGTTAACTTTGCTCTTTAGTTTCTTTATTTCTCATTTATACAGTCTGTTACCAGGAGAACTATTTGGGATTTCTTCAGAAGAATTTCTGTCACATGTTCAGATGAGCCAGAAATTGATGCATACGGAAGTGTTTTAGGCTGATTGTATTACCACATAAAAAAGCAGGCACGCACAGACACACACACACCCACCCACACACACACAATCAAAATCTTCACAGCTGTGTAATTCTTCATAAGGCTTGTTGATTTTGCCAAGTGAAAGAGGCAACGATTTGATTTAGATTTTCTAGTTATCGTTAACTACATTTTCAAAACAGTCAGTGATCATGCCTTTAGCCTTTATGCTAGTAACAACTGCTATCAGTTGTTACTAGCATATGAAAAAGGAACTGAGATGTGGCTCCTCCCCCCGCCCCCTCAGCATACCAGACTAGTTGAAGAATTTACATTGATTTAGCGATTCATTTTAACACAGAGAGCACGGCGGCATGATGGTGAGTGTTTGCGTCATTTGAAGTTTGATAATGTCACATACTTAAACAGTGTTTGAATTGATTCGGGCTACCATCATCGTTCATGCTAGATGATAATAATAATGTGAGTCACTCAATAATGTAAGCTGCTGTGTAAACAATCGAGGCTATGTGAAAGTGACAAAGAAGCGGAGTGTGCAGGCATGTGTGTCAGGGTCTCGGTGTTTACATTGCTTTATTCTAGCTTGCCTCAGGAGCAGTGAACAAATTAACAGTTCGGTTGTAGCTTGAGCTGAATCCTTATACAAGTTAAAACTTTAAGTGTTCAACTGAAACTAATACTGAGATCACGGAAACTAATACTGAGATCACGGATACAATGGCAGAAATAGGCTTTCTTCGAAAGGAGGGTGGCTTCTCCCTTAGAGATACGGTGAGGAGTTCAGCCGTCCGAGAGGGGCTCAAGGGTAGACCCAGGACAGAAACTCTCGGCTGGCCTGGGAACGCCCCGGTGTTCCCCCGGATAAACTGGAGGAGGTGGCTGGGGAAAGAGGGAGGTCTCGGCGTCCTTCTTAGGGCTGCTGCCCCCGCGACCTGTCCCCCGGAAAAGCGAAAGATAGGTGGATAGCTGGATGGATGGAAAAGAACAAAAATGGCATGGTAAAGTGGAAACTGCAGCAAGGACAGAAAAAACATACTGCTAATACAACTCTTTGTAACCAGCTGCACAGACAGCATGCTTATTGCAAAGCTAGCAAAGAACCGAGAAGGGTTTTATAGTTAAATGAATGCGGATAACCGGAAGAAAATGGATGGCTGTATAGAGGGATGAATGCTTCTCAGGAAATGTGTTTAAGCTCTGGAGTATAAATTGTGACGGTAATGGTAACGACTAGTATAGATGTGCTCTCAAAGAGAAAGCAGAGAAAAAAAATCCTGAGCGTTTAACACAGATAAACAGATAGACATTCATATATCGAAATTGTTATATGTAGATATTTTTTCAGCACGACTGAATGTCTGTGTGACTGTACAACCTTTCTAGGAAAACTACTTTAGTATGAAACAGTGTGTCCACCATGCATGAACCCAAATAATTAAGAGAATGAGAAAGGAAAGAGAAAGTAACTTTTGTGTTTTGGCTGTCTCTGGGAAAAACAAAGGTCAAATGCAGAAAGTGTCAGCATTAGAAGACAAACAGAGGCACTCCACAGAATCCTTTACAGTCTGGCTTGTTGTTTAGTATCATTTAGATTAAAAAATCTAAAAAGAAGATGAGTCATGAAACTCCATTTGGATGAATTCAGCTGATTGTGTGAACCAGGTGTGAGGTTTTTAATTTGTAAGACAGAGTATGTGTGTATGAGAATAGCTCAGCAGAATGAGTGTTCTCTCCAATCATTACGTCAGGGGAATTCCCATGTACTGCAAAGCCTTGCTGATTAATGCTGTTCAGTTTGCACAGCAGTGTAGTGATAAAGCAGAAGTTGCAAATACAATAATGAAAAAGGAAAACAAAATACATCCACAGATTGATTTGCAACACAGAATCAGAAATTCTATTTTTAAATATACTTCTAAGTACTGTAATTTGCATTAGAGTTTGGAGGTGTGCCCTGTTGTTTTAACATCAAAGATCTGTAAATTATTTTATGTAACATTATATCAAACAAAATGCTATTCACAGCTTACTCTCACATGTCTCATTAGGGAAATGTAACCACCCTCCCCCAATGGCCACATCAGAGTTGGATAAAATTGTCACTTAATTTGAGTCCTTGATTAAAAAAAAGAAATCCATCTGCATTAGTATCACTTCCACAGTTCATTTTGTATCAGTATTCCTGAAACTAAATACACCATGCAGTTACTTGACCTTTGGGATTTCCCTCTGTTTTTGTTTCAACTTATGACAGTCACTGCTGCTAAATGGCCACTCGTGAAGGGTAGGGGTGTTTCCACTGGTCAGCCTCTTTAAAACACCTTCACTTTAGATATTTACTGACAATGTGGAGAGAAGCATATGTGATTTTTTTTTTGTGCTTTATCCTACTACACCATATCCTACAACTGAAACAATCCCGATTTGATTTTCCAAGTGGGAATTTCCTGAGATTTCTGATCACTGCCAGCAAAGTCACATAAAAAAAAAAGATCACTTCCTCATGAATAGTTTTAGAAACAATTTCAAGTGAAACTAGTTCATCAAAAACAAATAAAGTCTGTGCTTCTTGTTGGATGAAACAAACTGATCTATTTGTTTATTATATTTCATTTTTTATTTTTCCAAATTTATGTAAGACAGGGGAGGATATGTAATAAGCTATGTGCTTATGTGGTTAGCATTTGGTTCCTATGATACCAAATGCGTAGTAAAAGAAAACTAGAATGTTGTTTTCTCCTAGCAGGTACAGGAATACACCCTTTTAGAACAAGCCCTCTCTTATACTGACTGGGACTTTCCTTTTGCTTCTTGTATACTGAAAACCATTTTGGTGTGTTCTTTCAGGATGAGACAGCCTGTTTTCCCCCAAAACATGACTGTAAAGAGCCAGTCAAATGTTTCAAATAAGATTCTAGTTCACTGAAAGGGTAGGATTGGGTGGGTTTCGGGACTGGGTGTTTGATATCGCCCTTGTGTAGCATTAATGATATTTTAAGACAAAACTATCATTCTCCTGACAAATGTAAATGGTGAGAAATCACTGCATGCAAGTTATTTTTGAGTGTTCAGGTGTACATGTGCCACTTGATGGCATCTCACACTACATTTCATTTCAGTGATTAACCAGTTTGTCTTTCTAACAGGCGTCCACCTGGAGCCGGTATCATTTTCTGTAAGTAATGCTCCGATTTCCTATTCATTCCTATCATGATTTCAGCACAAGGCAGCGTGTGGTTAGGGCACTTTTGATATTTTAACACCCAGTCACATGTTCCTGTTATTAACTGTTGCTCTGATATATATCCATGTGCCACTGTTGTGACTGGACTTGTAAGACTTACAGTAAGTAAGGCCCAAAAGGATTACTAGGAAGTAAATTTTGGAATGTAATTTTCTGGTGTTCTAATTTTAAAAGCAGTTTCCTCCTATATATCTCCTGTTACTTAAATATTATATTATTAATTATTTATATTAGCTAGTTATGGACATCAACGTAAGGTTAATGTGAAAGCTTATGGATCCAGACATGAGTTTGTAGCCTTCCCACTGATCTCATGTGTGCGCTTGTGTTGTTACTTGAACTGAAAAGAGAAGTGATCATTTTAGCTTTAAGAAGTTGGTGACAGAAGAGAGCAAATCTGGCCCAAGTTCATTATCTGTGTTTTACGATCATTGCTTGGCCACAGATGTTGTTTACTGAACTGTCTCAGTTATTTCCTGGTTGTTGTTACTGTCAGCTATCTCAGCCATCTTTAGGCACTGATGCAAAAAAAAAGTGTGTGTGATTCTTTATCTCCGCGTGCCACTTTAATGATTCACCATTTTCTGTGTTCCTAGAACTCAAAGGTTTTCCCTTGATCTGCTGCTATCTCTTGTTCTGACACTGACTTGGCCCTTCACTGTCACAGGTGAGCAGTTCTGCCAGCAGCACTCGTTCATTGTGGTTAAACATAGAAACCAGTTGTTTATTACATGAATAAGAATGTGTGATATGACAGTATTATGCTTGGTTGCACATCACTAGCTAAGGAAAGAAAGCAAAACGTGTGCTCCCCCAACTCAGATTTACATAACTTTAATTTTTTTCTTAGTTTGATGGAGTGGTCTTATGAAGAAGTTAAACTTTTTAGGAGATTTCCTTTCTTTGTAAAAGGTGAATATGTAGATCAATGCTATTCGCACATCTTTGTAATGAATAGGAAGCTGCCATCCACATGACTGGACCAGCCATTACAGCAGCACCCTATGCTAACACAAGCTAAGCTAATGGGTTTTTGGTTTTAGCTTCAAATTTAGTGTATAAACACGAGTGTTGACTATTTCTTCTCATCTGACTCTCACCAAGAAAGCAAGTAACCCCGTTTTCCAAACTATTTTCTATGTCTTCCTTCAGAATATTATAGCTTTCCTGTCTTAGTCCCTTTAATGCCCCCTGTTCAGTTTCCAGCTACCAGTCCAGCCCAGAACTGCTGGAAAATGCAATTAGTAGAAAAATCTGAATATCTGGAAGCTAAAGCCAGAGATGTTTTCTTACGAGTTGGTAGATAATCAGTCAAAAACACTCACACTTCAAAACAGGAAAAACAAAAAAGTTCTCTCCGTGTATTCTGCACAAAAAGGAAAGACAAAGGGGCTTATGAAGAAGTGAAATTAGCCTACCGCGTCATGCAGCGGAACTCTGCAGGAGCTTAAACAAAACCGCATGGAAACACATGTCTGCCCTAAAATAGAAACTGTTTGCATTCATTTCTTCCTTTAGATATTTTCTTTAATAAAAGATATATGCCCTAAAACTTCATCCCTGTTCCTTTTTTGTTTTTGTGTTTTTTGTTTTTTTTTAACAGGAGGTGCTGCTATTCTCAAAGGGGAGGTCGGTGGAAATGTGACTTTTCACTGCTCTGGTAAATCAGTAAAGAACATTGACTTACTTTACCTCCAAAGAGACAACGTCTTTGTTAATGGTTATTATGAATCTAAAAAAGTACCAGCAACGTGGAACAACACAAAGTTTGATCGCAACACTTCATCTGTGTTCATGGATAACCTAAAGGTCTCACACAGGGGGGAATACAAATGTCACATTCGGTACAAAGACGAGCAGCATATTAATGAAGACTCAATAACCCTCAGTGTCACAGGTATTTATGTCTTCAATTCATCTCATGAAGTTCATTTTTCTATGACTGTCAGTGTGAATAGACCTTTAAGATGAAGCATTACAATAGTGTAAAGTATGTGCATGTAATATAAATATAAACAAAGAAAACAGCTGTTTTCTTTGTTTATATTCATATATACGCCAGTCCCTTTGTACATGTTGGAAACACCAGGCTGATATCACTTTCCTTCTGTCTTTCTTCTAGCAAAGTACAGCAGGCCTATATTCAGTCCTCCAGTCTGCAGCGAGGAAACCCAGAATTGCCAGACAACGTGTACATCAAATAATGGATACCCAGAATCCAGCATGATAGTTCAGGCTATAGTTACCAGCACTAATGAGACCATCAGGCAGATATGGCAACATGTGAAGTCTGTCCCTTCCCCAAATCCAAGTACATCGCTGTATAACATTACCACCACTGTGAGTTATAACTGCTCGAACGGGGAGATAAAGTTCAGCTGCTCCGTGGGTGACGTCACTTCGGATGAGTTCTCAGTCTGTGAGTAGCCTGTTCATCTTAGAAAAGACAATTATTTCTTTATCAAAGTAGTTCCCACAATTAGCTACTGGACAAGTTTTGGGAAGTTTGAAAGCCAGTGGAAATCTCTTGGCATATATCCCCTTTGTTGTTTTATTTCATAGCAACATCCTCTTATTCTGTCAGCATTTGTGTGGCTGACACAGAACAGTTTAGGTTGAGTTTTTGTGATTTTTGAGATTTTTAAAACTTATGTGAGGCTACTAGATTACATTTTTCAGCAAGATGAATGAAAGTGACTGAATAGCAAAGCATTTCCTGCAGAATCAAACTCAAATTACTGCTGAGACTGACGTGATAAAAATTACGTGCTGTATTTATTCTTAAACTGAGGTATTATGGAAATGTAAAATTTGTTTGAGCCTACTATATGTTTATTAATACAACAACAGAGTGGGTGCGTGGGGGAAGTTCCAGGTTTTTTAGAGCTTTGCAGTTTTACTATATGTCATGTTTTGACATATTAAATTATAATGATTGTTCCCTTTTCTTTTCTGATCAGTTGCTTGGTGGTTTTTAATTTACCTTCATGTTAAAATAGTGAAGCTGTGACACTGTGAATACATTGTGGTTGCTGGGTTGATAACATCACAATATCAGCACTGACAGCAGTAGTAGTGTAGTATTACTGCTGTGCCCAATGTAAAAAGAAAGATTAACGAGTCTTTTCTGCATATGCTAAGAGTGTGCTATAAACGTTTTCCTGAATCAAGAATCATACAGTTTAATCATACAGTGGGGTTTGTACTTATGTTAGTTCTGTGAAATGAATTCAGTTTAATTCAGATTTAAGGAAAACGATTAAGTTAAAACATTCGGCAGTTCATTTTCATGAAATAGTTTAAGTTGACCTTTAAGTTCCCCAGCATGGAAAAGAAAAGGCAGACATGCCTTGTTTTTAGTTCAGTTCACTTTTTTGTTTTAGTTCTTCAGGGTAATTAAATATAATAACTCTTTTTTTCTGTATTTCATAATACTTGTCATGTGGGGTTCTTTGTAATAATCTTGATTCTGATACATTTGTTCTCATTGATAGGTGCTCATCAGGATCAACGCAGCACTGATATAGTAATTATGACAGCCATTTGTATACTGGTGGTGGTGGTCATGATTGCAGGTGTTTTGTGCTGGAGAAGACGGACAGGTGAGCACAGAAATTGCACACATGTGTAAAACTGCAGGGACATGAAAATAAGAGAATGAATAACTCAAAATGTGCAGAAACTCATGGCAGGCTCTGTGTTGTTTTTCAGGAGGCAGTATGAGGCTAGAGAGAGTAAATACAAATGAGGCGTAAGTAAGTGTTTAATTGTCTATAATAGTGTAGTCATAATACTTTGATTACACAGTAATCTGTGTAACTTTTCATAGAAATCAAAATTGTACTTTTGATTTCTGCTTGTAGATTAGAACAGATAGTTCTTTCGCTTTCCTTGTTTTTTCCTTCTGCCTAATTATTTCCTTCTGTGTTTTATTTAATCCAGGGTGGAAATATCACTTTGTGAAAAAAATGGAGAAAAAGAAGCTGCTTGAGGGGTGAACCAGTGAAGGACAACATTAAACCCACGTTCAAGGATCTAGAGGGACAGATATCGTCTCCTCTGTGTCAATTACACACTGTGATCAGCTGGTTCCACGCAAAATAGGAATAACCTCACCAGGCCTCGCCAAGAGTGAGTGACCCATCACCAGGAACTACATGCTATTAACATTTCACACTCAACACTTGTGACTTTTAGCGTTTGAGGAAGTATCATATCTTGTTCTTTTACTGGTGAAGCAAAGTGCGTCACTAAAGTGAGAATGGCTGACTTCACTATGTAAAAGCAAAAAAACAGACTTTATCAGCGGTGTGCGGTTAGGTTGTTGTTGAATACTGGAAAACTGTGATAGAAATACCTCCTGACGCCGTGTGACGATAGACGAAAAACAAGAAGTTAGAAGAATTATACATATGTATGTTTGTATTTGTATACTATGTATATGTGTACTTTGTTGTTACACCAACCACTGCGGGAAGAACCTGGCACACTCGCTACAATGGTCACTTGTGGACTATGAGTCATTTAAAAAAAAGAAAATACTGTCATTGCTGCACTTTAAAATCCCCTCCTGTACATTTCTTCTGTAGCCAATTTTTAATGTTTTTTTCCCCTAGATTTTTAAACAACAGTGTAAATACTATATATTTTTTTATTTTAATAAACAAAAAAGAAAAGTTCAGTCATCTTAGTGTTGATTTTTTTTTGTTTATTTTTTAATAGAATAGTACTACATTGGGGTCAGAAATAATAACTGACATGTACTGGAAAAAATGTGGATGAAGAAAAGCTGGAATTCAGAACATTTTGTGCAGATTAACTTGTAATTTTAAGCAAATTTTGTGTATTGTGCAGTAAGTTCCAGTATTTTCAGATTTCCTTGTAAGGTGCAATGTTCAACACAAGGGAAATGTGTTTTTTCTGTATTTTATTTAAATGGCCGTTAAACGTTCCCTAATGGGGGATATTGCGGTCTTCTCCACAATTCTGACGTTTTCTCAGGTGACTGTTCTCAGGTTATCACATGTAACCTTTTGTATGCTATTAAGCATAATATTTATTTCAGTCTAACTTTTACTTCCTTGAAGATATTTATCGGTAAAATGTTTGTTCTATTTACAGTTTTTGGTAAGAGGAGCCTGTCTGTTATTCCCCATTCCCTGGAATTACCAAAAATTCTCTAAAGGGTGTTTTCATTTCCTAAATTTGCTTGAAACACTCTTGTTCGGTGCCTAATTTATCTTTTCTTTTTGTTTTTAGAGTTTCAAATTCTGTCTGTGTCCCTTTTCAACCAATAAAATTTATGTAATTTAACTGAAGTTGTGGGAAGAGTTACACTCGCACTTCACTACACCACACGCAGCTTTAAACCTCCAAGTTCACCTTCAGCTGCAATGTAGTCAAACTGCCACTAGATGTAGTACGAGCACCACAAAATTGAGCTGACTCTTGCTCACGTATATGATTGTTTTTTCAGGTTTATGTGTACAAGTGCATTTGGATGTTACTGAAATACCTCATGATCCCAAGCACACTTGTCTTAAGATAGCCTGTGAAACAAAGTTAACTTCCTTCTGCCTAAGAAGGAAACAGTGTTTAATGTGTAATTATATCAGTGTCTGCACTTTCCTTCCCAGTACAAGAAAGGTGTTGTAGAGTAGACTGGACATGCCATAAATAGGGTAATTCCCTCACTATTAAGTCTTTGAGAGAGGAGATGCAAGTGAATATGGTGTACACGTCACACTGAACTGTCTTTTTGTATATACACCAAGTTTGTACCTACAGCGCTGTGCAAAAGTTTTAGGCAGGTGCGGGAGGGAGAAAACGCTGCAAACAAAGAACACTTTCAGAAATATAAATGATTGTTTATTGGCCCCAAATTTATTCTGCAGCAGGACGACAACCCCAATCATACAGCCAAAGTCATTAAGAACTATCTTCAACGTGAAGAAGAACAGGAAGTACTGGAAGTGATCGTGTGCCCCCCACATCATCGAGTGTGTCTGGGATTACATGAAGAGACAGACGGATGTGAGGAAGCCTACATCCACAGAAGATCAGTGGTTAGTTCTCCAAGATGCTTGAAACAACCACCAGCCGAGTTTCTTCAAAAACTGTGTGCAAGTGTACCTAGAAGAATGGATGCTGGTCATACCAAATACTGATTTAATTTAGATTTCACTTTGGTTCATTCACTTCATTTTGTTGATTGATGAAAATAAATGATTAATACTGCCGTTTTAAAAGCATTCTTTGTTTGCATCATTTTTTCTCACCTGCCTAAAACCTTTCCACAGTACTATATACTTAGTGGCCATTTTATAAGTTACACCTTGCTAGTACCACATTGGACCCCCTTGAGCCCTCAGGAATTCCTTAATTTTTGATGGCAAAGTTTCAGCAAAGTGCTCCAAACATTCCTCTGAGATTTTTGGTCTGTTATGACATGGTAGCATCACACAGCTTCTGTAGCTTTATCAGATGCTATCTATGATGTGAGTCTATCATCACACTGCCTGGAAGATGCTCTATTTGATTGTGATCTATTGACTATTGAAGTCATTTGAGTAGAGTGATCTCACTGTCATCTTAAAGAAACCAGTTTGAGATGATTCAGCTTTGTGAGTGCATTTTCTCCTGCTGGAGCAGACGTCAGGAGATGGGTACGCTGTGGTCGCACATATATACAGAAGGTCAGCAGTGATTCTCAGTTGGTACTAACAGGCCCAAAGTGTGCCAAGAAATTATCCTTCACAACATTACAGCACTTTGTTTGCACACGGCAGGATGGATCCATGCTTTCATTTTGTTTATAACAGTTTCAGACTCTGCCATCCAACGGTTGCAGCAGAAATTGAGACTCATCATACCAGCCAACATTTTTGACCAATCTTCTGTTGTCCAATTTTGCTGAGCCACAGTTTGTTGTTATCGGTTGATAAGAGTGGCATTTGGTGTGGTCTTCTGCTGCTACAGCACCAGGTGCTTTATTCCTTTTTTTCACTGAATTTGTCCCACCTAAAGATACTACTGCCAGGAGGCTGGGGGGTAGTACTAGTGGCAGGCAGTATTTTTTACATTTTATTGCTCCCATTATCGTTCTCATTTCTCCAGAAGCAGATTTTCTCTCACTTTCTCTCATCATGAGTCACTGTGACAGGCTGTCAGTCCACGTCTCTGCCCTGTGTTTACATTGCGCAGCAGAGCAGCACCAGGCTCGTTGCACTTCAGGAATGTAACCCCAAGGTCCGTGCCTTCCTCCTCCTGTTTTCCATTTTCTCCCCACTAACTTTCCCAATTTTTTCTTTCCATTCCTTCATTTTTTATTCACTCTTTGCAAAGACTCAACCCTTCCCTTTCTCCAGTCTTTCCTCTTCTACTCCCATCCTCCCAGAAACATCCTTTCCTCTGCCATCTCACCCCCTCCCACTTGTCCCATTCTCTCCTACTACCACCTTTCTCTTCTCTTTCCTTTACCAACCCTTTCTCCTTTCTCTTCGCCAAGCCTCCACTCCCTTTCTCACCCATGTTTTTCTTTTCCCCTTTTTAAAATTCAGAGCATTGTCCCCGCTCACTCACACCCCCTTTCCCCTGTCATCATCCCCTCACCTCCCACTCCGCCCCATCTCTGTCCTCCCTCCTCTCATTCCTCTGCTGCCTAACCCAAACAAACCAGGGAGGACCTTCCTCTCTGGTGATTGTAAGAGAAACACACCACATGTCAGAGTTGGTTTAAACATAAACATTAGTCAATCTGAAGTACTGAAAAAGAATATGAGGTACTTAAGTTCAGCATGAAGTGAAATTACTATTTTATGGTAAAACTAACCACCGAATAGACAACAATTAGAAAACAAAATGTCTTGGTGTATATAGGAAAAAGTTTATTCCCTTCTCCATTGTTCTGTTTAATGAACAAAAACCACTTAATAGTACTACACGCTAGCCTACAAGGAAAGCAAAACCATCCAGTTTTCCCTTTGTTTATAAAGCACAAGTCTTTATAGACACATTAGGAGTCAGGGCAAAGAGAGGAGTTATGATCATCATAAAGAATCTAAGCAGACTTTTGTGTTTTTCCAGTGACGCAGCAGAGCGTGTAATCTACTGCTTAATGGAGAATGCTCTCAGTCAGAACACAGGCCTGTGGCATTTCTCAGCAAGTGGTTTGTGACCTCTGCCACACTGTTCTGTGTGGGACTTATAATCAGATTATACTAGTTATGAAAGTCAACTAGATTAGTTTTAGTGGAGGGAGCTGGAGCACAAAGGCATCAATTCACAGCAGGAGAGGGGAGCTGATCAGCTTGAGGAGGATTGGTAATGTTTGCTAAATACACAGAGAGTGCAGTGTAGCAAGGCAAACAACGTAGAATAATGTAGACAGCTTAACTCAGCTCAAAACTGTACTTTTAAAATGTACTTTAGAATTGCATTGGAGTATCAGTAATCGTAATGTGCTCATAAATGTGCCCAAAATACTACAGCAATTTGTAGGTATTGTCAAGTAATACCAGAAATCGAGTATTCTGATTGGACAAGAAAATGTTTGTATGTTTGCAGATATTGCTGATGTAAATAAACTGTCACAAAACACTAATAAGTTGGTGACTTAATGTCTGTCCCTTTACTAAAAGACCAGCTGTTTCATTCTAGCCTTGCACTTTTTTTGGTGTCGGCTTTTTAAATAAACAAGCCGACATACATTTGAGGCTGTAGGCTGTACCAATGGCTCTCATTTCCCATCATGCCTATAAAGGGCCTACTAGTTAGTCACTCAGTCTGTGGTCTGTTTAGGTCTTCTGTCTTATGTTTACAAGTGTTACTTTTAGTTTATATTTTTACTTGCCAATTTAAACCCCAGTTCCAATAGAAGATGGAAAACATTTCAAAGGTTTAAAATGACACTTCACGTTCATAAAAATATGAGCTCATTTTGAATTTGATGCCAATAACAAACCTCAACAAAAATAGTTGGAACTGGAGTAACACAAGGCTGGAAAGGTAAGTGGTACTAAAAAGAAACAGCTGGAGGAACATCTCACAACTGATCGGGTTAATGGTCAACAAGTCATTAACGTGATTGGGTATAAAAAGAGCATCTTAGAGAGGCAGGTTTTCAACATGGGTAGAGGTTCGGCAATCTGTTCATTTCTTGAGGTTAGGCTGTCAGTCCACGTCTCTGCTAATTTCAAATGGACTAAGGCAAAGTAGAAAACTGTTCTGTGGTCAGATGAATGAAATCTGAAATTCTTTTTGGAACACATGGAAACTAAAGGGAGGAGGCACCATCCAGTTTGTCAACAGTCCAAACGCCTGCACCTCTGATGGTACAGTGGTGCATTAGTGCCTATGGAATTAGCAGCTGGCATATCTGGAAAGGCACCATCAATGCTGAAAGGTATATACAGGTTTAAGAGCAACATATACTGACATCCACACAACATCCTTTTAAGGGAAGGCCTTGCATATTTCAACAAGCCACACGAAACTGAAACCACCAACTAAAAACATCTGGCGCAT